CCACGCTCGTCCCCGAGCACCGCCCGTCCCCGAGCATCGCCCATGCCAGAGCATCGCCCGTCCCCGAGCATCGCCCGTCCCCGAGGGGAATGGGGAGAATTTTCCTCCCCCGACATCCACAATTTGATCTCCAGGGAAGAAAAGCAGTGGGAAGCCCAGGAAAGGCCGTTGGCAGGAGACTGGAGAGACAAAGGGCAGCAAAAATTCCTTTTTTTTCCCTCATAAATCTCACCAGGAAGACTCTTTTCAAGGACAAACCATGCCGGGATGGCATTTGCCACTTGAATCGTTATTTTGCAAAATTAGTGCATGTTTCCCCTTCCAGCAGCAAACGGGAGGGACCGTCCGGCTGCGAGCAGCACCAGCGCCGGGGGGGACGCCGAGCCGGTGCCGGGGGGACGCCCTTCAGCTGCCGTGCCCCATCCCTCTGCGGGCAGCGCAAGAAAGGCCGATTCAAGAGCATCGCCCATCCCCAAGCATCACCGATCCCAGAGAATCACCAGTTCCAGAGCATCTCCCATCCCTGAGCATCACTGATCCCAGAGAATCGCCGATCCCAGAGCATCACCTGGCCCCAAGCATCGTCCGTCCCCGAGCATCGCTTGTCCCCGAGCATCGCCTTGTCCCCAAGCATCGCCCATCCCTGAGCATCACCTTGTCCCTGAGCATCGCCCGTCCCCGAGCATTGCCTTGTCCCCGAGCATCGCCTTGTCCCCAAGCATCGCCCATCCCTGAGCATCACCTTGTCCCTGAGCATCGCCCGTCCCCGAGCATTGCCTTGTCCCCGAGCATCGCCTGTCCCTCAGCATCGCCTTGTCCCCGAGCATTGCCCATCCCTGAGCATCGCCCATCCCCGAGCATCACCTTGTCCCCGAGCATCACCCGTCCCCGAGCATCACCCGTCCCCGAGCATTGTCCGGCCCCGAGCATCGCCAGTTCCCGAGCATCGCCCATCCCTGAGCATCACCTTGTCCCCGAGCTTCACCCGTCCCTGAGCATTGCCTTGTCCCCGAGCATCGCCTGTCCCTCAGCATCGCCTTGTCCCTGAGCATCGCCCGTCCCTGAGCATCGCCTGTCCCCGAGCATCGTCCGGCCCCGAGCGTCGCCAGTTCCCGAGCATCGCCAGTTCCCGAGCATCACCCAGCCCCGAGCATCGCCCAGCCCCGAGCATCACCAGTTCCCGAGCATCGCCCAGCCCCGAGCATCGCCCAGCCCTGAGCATCACCAGTTCCCGAGCATCACCAGCTCCTGAGCAT